ACACACACACACACACACACAGTACAGAGAGGGGTAGACGTTGGATCGGACCATCATCTGCTGTTGGCAAAACTCAATCTTCGACTCAAAAAGCACGGAACCAGCACAGGAATCAAAAGAACCAAGTTCCAAGTAAGTCTCTTGGACGGACACAAGAAAGAAAAGTTTCAGCTGCAGCTGAGGAACAGATTTCAACCTGTGGCTGATCTTGGGGGAGAGGACACGGAGGTGGACCAAGGTCAAAGAAGTCTTTACATCAACATGTCGAGAAGTACTCGGTGGGAAGAAATGGGAGCACAAGGAATTAGTTTTAGCTTTAGTAGAGGTTTTACGGCACTCGCAACTGCATAAGGTCATATGAGCGCCAGAAGATTACAGGTGTTACAAGAGAGTAACAAACATAAAAAAGAAGGAGAGATAAGGACGATAGATGTTTGATAGGAAAGAAGAAGGAGAGATAAGGACGATAGATGTTTGATAGGAAAGAAGAAGTGCACAAGGAATGGATTAGCCAACACTCATTGATTAAGATAAGAAGACAACAGAAGGCAGAAGCGAATGCAAGTAGAACAAGAGGATCAAGAGCTGATGTATTGGAGCAGCACAGGACAACAGCTAAAGATGTCAAGAAATCACCAAGAAAAGACAAGGAGGAATTCATGAACAAGCTGGCAGAGAAGGCAGAGGAAGCAGTGGTAGGAAGGCACATATGTGAATCCTTTACCAGACCACAAGGACACTTGCTGGAAAATATGGGAAACCTAAAGTACATGTAAATGACTAACCTCCCACCCCCAAAGGGAATGTATGTATAGTATAGGGTTTTACGGCGCTCGCAACTGCTAAGGTCATATGAGCGCGCGAAACACAAGTTGTTCACCTTTCCAAAAGCTCACTTCACGACTGGTAACTAATTTACTTTAAAATGCTAAAAAGTTAAAATATTCAAATTCGGTGTAAATACATTTGTGATCTAAAACAACTTTTAAGTAACAATAAAAAATTTTAAATAATATCAAATTCACTCTGCAACTCGCCATAAAGGCCAATGGCCTTTATAAAATTTAAAATTCTGCTGGGAACAACGACGGAAAAAATATCTTGTAATTTCTTGCATTGATAGAATTTCCTTCGGATCTCTCCAAAGTCCAGACATTCGGTTAAGATGTGTCTAGTGGTAAAATCTGTGTCGCATCCGACACAGAACGGCTTCTCATCTCCCTGTAGGAGGTATTTGTGGGTCAGGGCCGTGTGTCCGATGCGTAATCGAGTAAAAATGACTTCGTCTCTTCTGGAGAGGTCCGAAGGATTTCGCTGTTTTAATTTGGGTTTAATTTCATGTAGTTTATTATATTCTTGTTTTTCCCAGTGGCTCTCCCACAGACTGGAGGTGTACTTTTTACTTTATTTCTGAAGTCAGTCCCAAAGGGAGCTCACTTGTCTGTCGAGGAAATAAGATGGTTGCCTCCCTTTGCCCCTTCGCTCAGGTTCATGTAAACACACGTTCTGTGTGAACACACTCTCAGGACACACACTTGCGACACCCGTTTAGGAACACACTTACGACACACGCTTAGGAACCCTCGTGAGCACCGTGAGTTAAGACAGAGACTTCTATATCAAACACAGCAGCACAGAACGTATCCCCCTCATCCTGGTAGTCAGGCCCTTCCCCCCCCCCCCTCACCATGCAGTACTAAGACTGAGTGACTATATTGCTGCAGACAGTGCTCATTGTAAACCACAAAACAAAGAGTCAAGAGACATCAAAAACAACAACAACAAAAACAACACCTGAGGTCTGACAACAACAACAACAACAACAACAACAACAACAACAACAACAACAGCACCAGTACCTGAGGTCTGACGCCGCCATCTCCTCAGCCCGGCCTGCCAAGCCTCACACTGCAGGAGACACAAACCTGAAACGACAACAACAAACACAGAGACATACAAAATGTCCAACCTCTGCAAAAGCTTCATGCATAAATTCTATTGCAAACTCAACATGAACAAATAAATAGACAAATCTCTACATCATCGCCAGCTAATCCTCCTAAAGTTGGTTTATTTTTTTGTATGGCGTTTTACGGCGCTCGCACCTGCATAAGGTTATATGACAACGGTTCATTTCTCGGCTTGATACTGGTCAATGTTTCTATTTTAAATTTTTTGAACACTAAAAATCAAGTGTAAATAGGTTTAGATTTAAATTTAAATTTAAAACAACTTTCTAAATAACACTTTAAAATTTCGAACAATCTATTTCCTAACTTTCCATAAAAGCCAATGGCCTTCATAAAATTTAAAATTCTGCTGGGAACAACGTCGGAAAAAATATCCTGCAATTTCTTGCATTTATAAAATTTCCTTCGGATCTCTCCAAAGTCCAGACATTCTGTTAAGATGTGTCTAATGGTAAAATCTGCTTCTCATCTCCCTGCAGGAGGTATTTGTGGGTCATGGCCGTGTGCCCGATGCGCAATCGAGTAAAAATAACTTCATCTCTTTTGGAGAGGCCGAAAGGATTTCGCGGTCCCAGTTTGGGTTTTATATTGTGGAGTTTGTTACACGTCTGTTTTGCCAGTGGCTCTCCCAGAGTTTTTAAAGTTCTCCTACAAACTGTAAAGGAATCTAAATCACCAGAGTTTGGTGAAAGTCTTACAAATAGCCACGTTTTTGTTTCTGGTTTGTGTGTCAGAGAAGCGTCTATTATACCGTGTTTGATTTTCTACAGATCTGGCCTGCCTGATTGGGTTGGTAATGAATTGAGGAACGCCACAGGCAAGCTCACATTTGGGGAGAATTTGTCAACTGTATGCACGACCTCTCCAATTCCTAAATTCCTGGCTCCCAGAAAAAAATGCGTCTTGACAAAACCTTCACCTCACACAAGATCTCACAGTCACAACGTTCTCAGCCTGTACATCAGTTGAATACTACGGACAAGTCTAAATTGGCGCTCATATGACCTTATGCAGTTGCGAGCGCCGTAAAACCCTCTACTATAAAAAAAAACCAAGTCTAAAATGTCACTGTTCCCTTCCTCAGCACTTTGAGGTCTGTACAGCGACTCTGACACACACATTTCATTTACTTCCCTCTTGAATGGTACCGCACAACTGTCAAGACATAATGTGACAAGTTGTAGGGATTGAACCATGAACTTCCACAAGATAAGCAGTCACGTTTCCTCCAGACTAACATGACATCTGTGGTCACATAAACAAACACCCCCCCCCCCCCCCCGATTTCCAAAGGGGGGGGACATTAACATGTTCTTATGCACAGTAGAATTGTAAATGGGCTGATTCATCAATGTTATGTTCAAACTATGCCTGAACTACAACAGAGAACTGCTGCTTTTTCTTTCCTAATCCTTACTATCGTCATTTTCCTCTGGCGCTCATATGACCTTATGCAGTTGCGAGCGCCGTAAAAAAAAAAAAAACAACCCCCAAAACTTACAGCAAACAACGACCACAAGGCTCGCGTTCCTCACGGCCCGGGGAAACATCTCTGTGTCTTGTAGTCAAGTCAGGATCCAACTCTGCAAGGGAACAGAAACATAATATATTATAACACTTCACATTTGGGGAAAAAAAAAGACAAATGTTTCAAGATGCGGAGGAATCAGGCGCCCCTCAGTTTTTGGGCATATTATGATGTTATTTTATATCATTTTCAATTTAACTGGCTCATTTGTTTTGCTTTTGATGAAAAAAATACCCATCTACTAAATATCTTGAAAAAAAAAGTACCGATATTTGCGACTGAAGGATGCGGGAGTCGCCTGGTGCTAGATGGAAAATTAGCAACAAAATGGATGCCAAAGTTTGGGAACTTCCAAAGCTTGAGTGACCTTTCTCTGCCTTTGATCAATGTTTTTCAATAATGTTCTCATACAAAAATGTATTTTTAATCGACAAAAGAAGTTAAGCCAAAAAATTATTTTTTTTGTTTATTGCCCAACGGCTAGAAATTTTTTTTTTAAATAACCTTTCTGCCAGTTTGGCAGTTTCTATAGAATTATTCTGGGGCTCACCACCTTTCATGTCAACCACGTGGCCACAAACTGACGAGCCCTTGTCTTCACCGTGTTGAGACACACACATCGCACAGTACAAAGTCTCACGTTTCCACACACGATGACCTTGGTGATAACTCGGCGGCAACACTAGCCTAGTGGTGAGGCGAGCGGACTCCAAGTCATGAGATTGTTGTGGGTTAATCAGAGGCTCCAGGCTAAGCTCAGTCATACGCTGCGTCCTTCAGAAAGGTACGTTGGCCTACTTCTTCTTTTCCTCTTTTGTTAATCGTATCAGAGACGGACATTAACTCTTTCTGGACGTAGTTTTTTGGGGGTCAAGACATAATTAACCGGTGGCTCGATTTGGCTATGTAGGTGGTGTACAAAATAACTTCATAGAAGCATAACCATCACTCATAACGTAACATATGATATATCAGATTGAAGGAAATTGAAGAAGGAATACATTCCAACATAAAACAAGGATTAATTTTGAACATAAGTATGCATTACAAGGGTTACAAATGGCAATGGTGATGAGAAAAATACATTTTGGCCGAAAAAATGACATTCACCAAACATATAAAAGCAAATCAGCATAGCTATCTGATCTATACAGGCAAAATGCATAATCCATAAATTTCTGAAAGCGCTGCTTTTTATTTGAAAGCAATATTCCAATTTTTGTTTGAGTTATGATATTTATACTGAGTCCGGTTACATCGTTTTGTTGATGCAAGACCGCAAGAACTAATTCACTCGTTTTCCCCCAAACCGATACTTTGACAAAGTGAAACTAGAATCTAAATGTTTTCCTTTCCTAAATCCTTTCCAAGTTTTCAATAACAATAAAAAGTACTTATAAACAATGGATCATGTTAAAACGAAACAATACTGAGGCACCCTATCATAGCCGATATATTGGTGATATGTCCGCAAGGGGTGTGGACTCGTGCTGATATATACGGCGATACTTCCACAAGGAGTGTAGACTCGTGCTGATATATACGCCGATACTTCCACAAGGGGTGTAGACTCGTGCTGATATCGGCGATACTTCCGGAAAGAGTTAAATTCAGATGTCTCGCGTCTTAAATAATTCAGTCATGAAACCTTCAAATTTGCACATTTTACACAAACTCTTTTATAAAAAAAATAACCGTAGCAATTTTAGATTTGAACTTTAAACACCTCAGTCTCTCCAGGTACATCTGTGATGGCCAAGTTATAAGTAGATCTAGCATCTTTTCACGGCTGGAAAAACTAAAGTTTTAGGACAGACAGCAACTGAACCTTTCCTTCCCACACTGTGAGAAACCTGGGGTAACTGACGGGGAAGTTCATTGACCTCACTGCTGTGTCTGGATTTATGACGTTGTCATTACGTTTACTTTTTTAAGCAAAGTATTTAAGTACTAATTTTAAAAAGACTTTTCCAGAAAGTCTTTACAAAGGGCAAGATTAGATTTACAAAGTAAAGAGCTGTACTTCTTTTTATCTTTTTATTGAACCGTTTCGGAAATACTTTCCAGGTCGTTTTTTTCCTTAGTATTTTGGGCCAATAAAGACGATTTTGTTATTTTTAAAATTCGCCGTAAATTGTTAGTTCTCAAGTTATTTACATTTAAATACCGCCATCTTTCATGTATACATCCGCACATTTTGTCGCATTTCACGTCATTTTGCCGTGGTTACGCGTGGTTGCGCATGCCCATGCCGTGTGCCGCTATTACTATTACGCATGAGCAGGCCGTGTGCCGCTATTACGCATGTGCATATTGTGTTTTCGTATGCTCCTGCCACTCATTTCGAACGAGAATTCAGTGCTTGTTGCAGAAGTTGACATGGCCACAAGCGATTCCTGAGACTCAAACTTTTACAAGACCATCGCCACATTTTACGAAAACGACGAGAGTGCTGTAGCGTTTCTTCAAGGTCACGGTGTTCTGGCGAAAGAAGTCGAGTGTCCTAAGTGCCAGCGTCAGTGTCAGCGTCAGTGCACTTATGGGGAGACGGACCACATTGGGAGGGGCAGGACGAGTTTCGTCATTCCCAAGAGCAAGAAGAGGAGATACTGTGACTTCAGGGTTTCTCATTACGACGGAACTTTTCTGTCTTCTGGTCACTTCGCTCCCTGGAAACTAGAGCTTTTTGTCAATCATTTCTTAAGCCGTCACTGGGGTCACACGACTCTGCACGAGGGTCTGGGTCTGTCACCGAATACTACAGTGACCGGCGGTCTTTTTGTAGTGAGGTGACCCAGGACTGGTGTTCCAAGCAGAAGGTGATAGGTGGAGAGGGCGTGGAGGTGGAAGTGGACGAGACGCTGATAGGTCGCAGGAAGTACGAGAGGGGCCGTGTGCTCTGCCAGGTGTGGTCGTTTGGTGGGATAGAGCTCAAATCCAAGCGACGGTTTGTCATTCCTCTTACCGGAGACGTTGGAGAGAGGAGGGACAGCGCTCCCCTCATACCGCTTAGAACTCAATTCATTCTCCCAGGGAGCGTTACATACTCTGACGCCTGGAGAGCATACATGTGAGGCAGCGCTCGTCAAAATAATGAAATTGAAGAAACAAGCGATTTTCTGTCGGTTCGCCAATTTTTATCCAATTTTTATTTTTTGGCTAACATTTGTTATGTCAATTTAAAAACACTTTTCTGTGTGGATTTTTACTGGAAAACGTTGATTAAAGGCGTAAAAAAATGCAAATTTTCAATTTCCCAGAGCTCCCCAGCTACGCAGTTGGTCAAACTTTAGCAGCCATTTTCTCTCTATTTGTACCTCTCAAACCAGGCACTCTCACATCCTTCGATCGCAAATATTTCGATTTCTTAACATAGAGGGATATTTTTTTTCACCAAAAGCAAGACAAATGAACAAGCTGTAAGGAGATACCAGTAGCTCCACATGCCCAAAAACTGACCAATGATTCCACCACGTTGTGACACACATATATAGGTCCCTTGGACAACTCGGACACACCGGGTCATAAACCATTCAGGGAGTGTTTGTGGACCAGGACAATCCACAGATCCACACACAGAACATGGAGAGACAGTGGAGAGACATTAAGGAGTGGCTGAAGCGGCCAGGAGTTCACTCCTGGTACCTCAAGCAGAACCTCGCGAGGTACTAGTTTGTCACGTCTACGCCAGGAAGTCAGGTCCTTCACCACTTTTTTATGGAGGGAGGGAAGCTGTACCCCCCCACGTCTGACAAGGAGCGTGGACCTCCGCAACCAAAAGTGCCGTCGGATGACGAATAAGCTCAGTTTTCATTTAGTTAAGGCTCAGTTTTAGGCTTTTCTTTGGTGGTAATGCATACTTTTTTAGCCAATAGGGGGGTTTCAAGTGGTCTCCCCCTGACGACCGATTACGAAATACCTTTGTAGAGGGACCCCCCCCCCCCCCCCCCAAATGTGCCGTAACATCTACACTAACCATTTGCGTCATTTTTTAATGCCAAAATCGTGTTCCGCGCCCTAAAAAAACAAAAAATACCATTTATGAGACGGGAGGGTTTCTATAAATTTACCCTTTTTTTAAATAGATTTTTTAACAAGAGCAAAAGCTTCAGTTTTATTTACTTTTCATTCAACTTTTTCGCTATAAATAAAAACAGCAGGAAAAGCCGTTGTAGCTAGATCTAGAGTCTTCTGTACCTTGTAAGTCAAGTGTTCTGGGAGGCTTCGCCCAGGCCTACATCTAGAATTTGTACAATCTTGTCACAGCAAACAATGCGATATCTGGAGTATTACACTTAATTATAGCAGCCTGTAGTCTGTATTGTCATTAATTATAGTAGCCTATAGTCTGTATTGTCATTAATTATGGTAGACTATAGTCTGTATTGCCATTAATTATGGTAGACTATAGTCTGTATTGCCATTAATTATGGTAGACTATAGTCTGTATTGTCATTAATTATAGCAGCCTATAGTCTGTATTGTCATTAATTATAGCAGCCTATAGTCTGTATTGTCATTAATTATGGTAGACTATAGTCTGTATTGTCATTAATTATGGTAGACTATAGTCTGTATTGTCATTAATTATGGTAGACTATAGTCTGTATTGTCATGAATTATAGCAACCTATAGTCTGTATTGTCATTTATTATAGCAGCCTATAGTCTGTATTGTCATTTATTATAGCAGCCTATAGTCTGTATTGTCATTAATTATGGTAGACTATAGTCTGTATTGTCATGAATTATAGCAACCTATAGTCTGTATTGTCATTAATTATAGCAGCCTATAGTCTGTATTGTCATTAATTATAGCAGCCTATAGTCTGTATTGTCATCGCTGACACTATGCTGTATTATACAGTGCTTCCAACAGCTCAAGCTGAAAAGTGAGGAAAATTGTGCCGGGGTCGCACAGGCCCCCAGCACGGTCCAGGGACAGAGCCCCAGTGGGGGTTTAGGGGGCACACAGAGCCCCCGTAGAAATTGAAATTTTGTGTTTTTAAAGGGTTAAAAATGGCATTTGGGAGCCTGTCTGAAGAGATTGTCTACAGCCCGTAACATTTGTTTTTTCACCAACATTTTGTCTTGTTTGATTTCTTCACCAGCATATCTTTCCATTGCTGGAAATGTTTAAAAGCAGGTTCCCCTTTCATTGCTACTATAATTCAATTAACTTGTCATCGCACCATTGATAGAAGGCAAACCTGGGAATAATAAAAAGATATGTACCTTCACAATACGGTTACCCGACGTATACCCTAATTTTCCTTAAATTTGAGGTCTGAATGTCGCTTGTCACAACCTTGGAACACCACTTCGAATTATTCTTGATTTTAGCAGTTTTACAAAGGCTGGTTTTAGCATATAAATTTCTTTCATCGCAGCCCTTATCGCGTTCCCGTGCCGTAGAATCTTTGTATTGATTCTCTAGATCGAGACAAACTTGTAAAAAAGTTTCTTTCTGACACGGCTGTTCACGAGTAGTACTTTAGTTCTACCGGCACCCCGCAGCGCCCCGACGCTCAGCGTAACTCAAACCAGCCATTACCAACGGGTCAAGAGGTCAGCGCAGGGAATTTTACCTGACTGACAGATTGGCGATGAAAATGTTATTGCTGCAGTTTTCAGCTTTGTTTAACCTGTGACTAAGCCCAAACTACAACACCAACTGTGCATAAAACCGTATACTTTGAATAAGCATCATCTGACATATTTCTTAGAACAATCATGCAACTAATTAAGAAAAAGGAAGACGAGATGACGAAGAAAGAAAAGTGGATAGATGTTTTAACATTGATAGAGGGTCATGATTTATTTCATTAAATTTGAACATGTTAGCTGCTGTCGATTTTGACAATTCTAAGGTATTGGGTCAGAAATTGAGTAAAGTTTCAAAATTACTTGGCTGCATCTGTGTGTCGTTGCCTAAAGCAAAGATATTAAGTCTTGAGTGGAGATTCGCGGCTTTTCGCAATATGTCCGCAGTTCCCCAAGTCCAGCTGTCACATGTGACGACTTTTGATAAAAACGTATCACTCTAGGATCGCGGGTATCACCAGTCAGGGTGTCAGCACTTATAACTGCATTTAAGCCTACTGTCACAATATTGGTAAACACACTATATCATTATATTACATTTTAAGAGATGCTAGATCTAGATTTGAAACAAAACACAGACAAAAAAATCTTGTGAACACTGAACAAAAAACTTCTATATCATATTAAAGAAGAAAAAAGTCACAGAAAAACGACACGAAAGTTGAAACTTACACCTCTTGTACGTACAGTATACCTCTCCCTACTAGATTTATTAAAAGAATTGAAAGTGATGGTGAATTTACGAAGTTATTGAAGTCTAAAATTCAAATAACACTGAAAAAGGATCCGACTCGATAGAAACATGTCTCGGGGAACGTATAGATCTATGTGTAATTTTTTTTTAATTAATAAAAAATCACAGAAAAACAACACAAATTTGAACGTTGCACAATTTGTACAGTATACCTATCCCTACTAGATTTTGAAAAAAGAATTGAAACTGATGGTGAGTTCACAAGGTTATTGACGTTTAAAATTCAAATTTAAATAACACTGAAAAACGAATCCGATTCGATAGGAACACATCTTAGAGAACGTCTATATAATGTTTTAAAAATTAATTAAAAATCACAGAAAAACGACACAAAGTTGAAACTTGCACAATTTGTACAGTATACCTATCGCTACTAGATTTTGAAAAAAGAAATGAAAATGATGGTGGCTTTACGAAATTATTGGCGTTTAAATTCAAATAACACTGAAAAAGGAATCCGATTCGATAGAAAAACGTCTTGGAGAACATAGTTCGATAAATTCAAGGTTGTGAACTGAGATCGACCAAAGTTATATCGTCTTGTAGGGGGAAAGCTGGGCTTTAATATGGTGGGTCATATGGTGATATCACATCTTTAGATCTGGAGATATCGGGGTGGGAATGACACCATAATTTGGAGGAAATGCATTACGCGGGCAGGCGGGGGCGCGCCACTGGCATCACGGTAGTGAGCACGGCTGACCGCGGATTTAATGACCAACACATGGGTGGCACTGACCGCTGGCACGGAGCAACTAAAGGAGCGGTTTCCGGGCGAGTTGAACAGCCGTGCTGACAGTAATTTTCTGTCTAAGATCACAAGTCAATTTACTTGATCAACGCGCAGATTTTCCAGCCGCAGCAACAATCCAAAGATAGACAGACAGAATGAGTGAATTATAGAGAAAGGAGGAAATTGGCACAAAAGGTTCGATAGACTTTGATGAATCCACAGGTAAAAATGTACTGCCGACCAACCAGCAATGAATGCATGGGGCATAGCGGCCGATTGCAGGAAATGCGCAATCTGGCAGGTCCCTGATAGCCGAGAGAATTACCGTAAATATCCGTAACTTTACTAGTGATACGAAGGCGAGTACGGATCTTTTGCTACGGAATGTCGGTAGTCCTACGCTGACGCAGCTTTTTACGGAGGGAGTTGATTACTGTTGATAATGATGGAGAGGAACAAGTACAGAACTGGCAGAAAGTACGGATTTACGTAAAAATACGGAAGAGTGGAAGCACTGATTATACTGTGGTATAAAAGTCTGTAGACTCAATCAAGACTATATAGAGTGTACTATAAATCTAGATCTACTATCATCATAGCTGCAGCTATCATTCTTCACGTCAGCAACCGTAACTCAAGAAACTGTTTTGTGCGTACACATGACATAGATCTAGTTCTAGATTCGGCGATTGTCAAGATTTCCGCGTTTAATTCCGATGTGCGTTTTTCATAGTCTCAGGTATGTTTCGCTTTGGTCCCTAACCCTAACCCTAACCCTGGTCAGGATTAGGGTTAGGGTTAGGGTCAGGGTTAGGGTCAGGGTCAGGGTCAGGGTTAGGGTTAGGGTCAGGGTTAGGGTCAGGGTTAGGGTTAGGGACCAAAGTGAAACATACCTGAGGCTATGAAAACCGCACATCAGAATTAAACGCGGAAATCTTGACAATCGCCCTAGATTCTATGTCTATTCTAGCTAGAATCTCTACAATCTAGTCTAGATCTATCTAGAATCTAGATCTAGATATAGAATCTAGATCTAGAATCTAGATATCTAGATCTAGATATCTAGATTAGAAATCTTGATCTGGAGGAAGGGTTAGAGTTTGTTATCATAATTTGGAGACATTTGTTGACATTTGCAAACAGAAAACTGAGAATAAACTTAATGAGTATAAAAATGAGAATACAAACCAAGTAAAGTCTAGATTAGTGTGTACAAAAAGATCCACACCCAGCAGTCAAAACACCAGTAAATCTCTAGTCCATGTACTATACTCAAACGTACAAGATTCGACAGATCCCCACATTCTGATGAATCTGATACACTTCCTGGTAAGTTCTCGTCAGCTCCGACACTTTTGTCGTTTCTTTGCTACGCATGTCAGTTTTTGTAGTTTCCACCGGTGTTTATGGAAATACGAGCCTACAAATATTTGTCCCGACTGACAGGGAAGTAAATTTCAGTGTATGAGTGTGCGTGAGTGAGTGTGTGTGTGTGTGTGTGTGTGTGTGTGTGTG